GGGAGAAAACTCTGGATTTGGAGGAAGCCATCGCCCCTTAGATTTAGTTTTGGCACATTCAGCAGAAGTGGTTGAACCAGCTCCCCAAAGGCCTGGCTCACCACCTCCCGCCCCATGCTTGTTCGCACTCGTCTGTCATTAGTGGGGGCAGACACACCTGGATTCCACACGAGGCGGCTCACCCTGAAAAGCGATGAAAGAGAGAACTGCACAGCTTGAATTTTCTGGGATCGTTCTGCCTGCGCGCCAGTCGAATCTGCCTCCTATGTTCACAAGCCCCGTTACTGTCGCATCCCGGGGCTAATTCTACACACTTGTTTTGCACTGGTGTGAAGGATGGCACAGGGGTACAGGGCCACGGAGAATTCGGCCCGTCCGCCACAGAGCAGGAAGGGCAGGTGGAATGCGATTCAGCCTCGACACCCCACATAGCTACGGCTACATGACAGTGAAAGGGTTATTCCCCCGCAGGGGCCATGCGAAATGACAGCGCGACTTTGCATTCCAAGCCCATCGGCTTTGTGTGATCCATCCCAACATGATTTTAATGGCTGAGGGGGAACCCTGCTGAGGGGGCATTTCACGTTTTCCCCTCGCAAGCATGGAATGAATTTTGCTTCGTGCACCACCACAGAGGTGACAAAATGCATGTGGTGGGGTGGGGCCAAGGGGCGTCAGCGTGTGTGTGTGTGGGGGGGGGGGGCTCAGGGCTGAGGCAAGGTGTTGGCATGTAGGAGTGTGAGAGCTTCAGCCAGGGGTCCCGGCTCAGGGCTGGGGCAGAGGGTTAGGAGTTGTGCTGGGGGGGAGGTGCAGAAGTGGGGCCAGAATGAGGGATTTGGGGTGCAGGCTTCCTGTGGGGGAAGCCTCCCCCCCCCTTCTCTTTTCCCACAGCAGCACCTGGGCTGGGGGTGGGGGGAGGCACCAGGACCAGGCTCAGTTCAGGGCAGGGAAGGGGTGTCCCTCCCCCAGCCATGGCGAGGGTTCATGGGGGTCTGGATGGCGTTTCCCAGGCTGCTGTGGAACTCACTGCCCTGTGACCTGACAAGGGGGTGAAATGAAAGGATGCGGGAGCCTGTTTCTTCTCGGGCCCTCTTGGCGACGCACCCTGCGTTACCGTGACGATGCCTCGTGGGGTTTTGCATGCGATTCGGAGCAGCAGGCAAGCAGGGCCGTGGCCGTAGGACGTGGGAGACGGAACGGGCCCCCGGGGCCTGCCAGGCTAGTCCAACGGAAAGGGCCTTGCAACAGCGCCTAATTGAGCCATCGAGCAAAGCGGCTCTTAGCTCAACGAGGGCGTCAGTGCAGAGCCACACAGGGTGACGCAGCTGCTGTCGGGCTCCCCAGAGGAAGACGTCAGCCGCTCCCGAACTCTCCTGCCTCCACACCCGCCGAAGGAGCTGGCCAGGCCCGGGGCTCACGCAGCCAGCCCCCACTTTAGTTTCAAGGGCTTAGCATTCAAGTGTCACTTGAAGATTTGGGACCAGCCTTCCCCAGTGGCACTGGGACTGGTTTTGGGGTGGGGGTGCTGAGCTGTGTGCACCCCCTTACTCCTGTCTGTGCCCCTTTCCCCCCTAGAGCCAGGGCTGGCAGCAGGGATCCCACATGCGGGACACAGAGGTGGAGACCCTGAGGGGCCACGGGCCGGTGGAAGGGCTGAGAGAGGGGCCACGGGCCGGTGGAAGGGCTGAGAGAGGGGCCACGGGCCGGTGGAAGGGCTGAGAGAGGGGCCACGGGCCGGTGGAAGGGCTGAGAGAGGGGCCACGGGCCGGTGGAAGGGCTGAGAGAGGGGCCACGGGCCGGTGGAAGGGCTGAGAGAGGGGCCACGGGCCGGTGGAAGGGCTGAGAGAGGGGCCACGGGCCGGTGGAAGGGCTGAGAGAGGGGCCACGGGCCGGTGGAAGGGCTGAGAGAGGGGCCACGGGCCGGTGGAAGGGCTGAGAGAGGGGCCACGGGCCGGTGGAAGGGCTGAGAGAGGGGCCACGGGCCGGTGGAAGGGCTGAGAGAGGGGCCACGGGCCGGTGGAAGGGCTGAGAGAGGGGCCACGGGCCGGTGGAAGGGCTGAGAGAGGGGCCACGGGCCGGTGGAAGGGCTGAGAGAGGGGCCACGGGCCGGTGGAAGGGCTGAGAGAGGGGCCACGGGCCGGTGGAAGGGCTGAGAGAGGGGCCACGGGCCGGTGGAAGGGCTGAGAGAGGGGCCACGGGCCGGTGGAAGGGCTGAGAGAGGGGCCACGGGCCGGTGGAAGGGCTGAGAGAGGGGCCACGGGCCGGTGGAAGGGCTGAGAGAGGGGCCACGGGCCGGTGGAAGGGCTGAGAGAGGGGCCACGGGCCGGTGGAAGGGCTGAGAGAGGGGCCACGGGCCGGTGGAAGGGCTGAGAGAGGGGCCACGGGCCGGTGGAAGGGCTGAGAGAGGGGCCACGGGCCGGTGGAAGGGCTGAGAGGGGGGCCAGGGGCCGGCGGAAGGGCTGAGTGAGGGGCCACGGGCCGGCGGAAGGGCTGAGTGAGGGGCCACGGGCCGGCGGAAGGGCTGAGTGAGGGGCTATAGGCCGGTGGTAGAGCCAAGTGGGGTGGGGGAAGCTGGCAGCAGGGCTGGGTAGGGGCCAGTAGCTGAGCCCCCAGGCTGCAGGGGTGGGGGCCAGTGGACAGGACCCTGGGCAGTAGGGGCATGGAGCTGGGATGCCCTAATACTTGGGGGTGCTGAGAACCCCCTGCACTCCTACATCCTGTGCCCCCCCCCCATTGCTAGTAGCTTAAATCTTCCTGCTCCTTTCCCCGGACCTGTGCTACATTTTTTGTTCGCCCAGGGAACCTCTATGTGACACTTATTCCATTCAGGGCCCAGGTCTGCGACATGCACTGGAGGGGGTGTCAGATCCGGCAGGAGACCTAAACAATTCCTTGGAACGAGGGTCCCTCGGCTCCCGACCCCAAGTGCCCCTCCTCCACTCGCGCTACATCGAGGGCATCTTCGCTAGCTGGACTCCCGGGAAGGAGGCCCTTGCAGAATTCCAGCCCCTTCCGCCCCACCATCTACCTCGGCCTGGGCCAGTCCACACAAGAGCCCACTTCCTGGACATGACAGTGGGCACATAGACACCATCCTGTCCTGGAACCCTACAGACTTTCCTCCAGAACACGACACCCGCTCCATCGCCTGCAGCCAAGCCCTGCTCCGGTCCCTCGGGAAGAAACACCCACAGGATCGCTACCAAGCATCCACTACAGCGCCCACTGGGGGAAGTGAGGAGACAGCATGACAGAGCCAGGCGGGAACCCAGAATTCATCCTCTACAGGGCAGAGCCAACAAAGGAAGGAACAGAACGTCACTGGCCCCAGCTGGGACTTCTCCAACCCATCATCACAGATCCCCCCTTTCCCTAGAGGACGTTCCCTCATTCTCACAGGCCGTGGGGCGCCAATCAGCCCCCACTTACCGACAGCCCCCCAGCCGCCAACTACACCCCCAATAGAAACACCCACCCCAGAGCCAATCCCCGCAACAAACCCCATTGACAGCTCTGCCCACACGTCTACCCTCGTGACCCCATCCTACGACCTAACCACATCAGCTGCATCACCACGGGCGTGTTCTCCTGCATTGGGCAAACAGGCCCTTTGTGCAAAAGAAGAAGCGGACACCAGCCACCGTACAGAAGCCAGAGGAGAGCACCGCCGTCTCCTGGACACACCGACAGACCTGAAAGCTGCCATTCTCGATTGCCGAATGAATGAATTCAAGACCAGACTGCAGCGCGTGAAACCTCGGAGCTGGAATTCACAGGCTAATGTGACGCCATCAGATCGGGGCTGACGAGAGGCTGGGAACGGCTCGCTCATTACAATAAGCCATTTTCCCACCTTCCTATCACTGTTGGAAATGGCCACATCCACTCCCATTAACACTGCAGTAACACTCCCACGGGTACGTCTGTGTACGTATTTCCCGCCGGCTGCCTTTTCACCTCGCGCAGCTGATGCAGTGGGCTGCAGCCCACGAAAGCTCATGCCCTGGCACACTTGTTAGTCATGGCTGGACTCCTCGCTCATTTTGTGGAAACACACTAACGCGGGTGCCTCTCAGAAGCGTGTCAATGGCCCGACGGTGCGTCGGCTTCTCCGCGTGCAGGGGTGGGGCGGGGCCCCGGGCCCTAGCAATTCTCACCTCCTTCTTCTGAGTCACAGAACAATGAATAACAAATGTAAGGAGAAGTGATTTTGATAGGCACATCGGGGCCTGCTCCTCAGTCATGCCCTGAGATCAATGGTGTCCGTGGGTTGGGTCAGTCTAGGGCAGTGTTTCTCAACCTTTTTATGTAAAGTATCCCTTTAAAAATATATACAAGTACCCTCAGCACCTGCAGTTTTCAGACACGCACAATTTTTCTTCCACCATTGCAACAAATTTGTTTAAACAACTTCATCGTAGCCGGGCGGGCGATTATTATGTTTGGACTTTTTACACCCCAAAATGTCAGGTGCTGTAACATTTAACACAAAAATTCAGTTTTCTCCATGTCAGCTGTGTTGAGCTGCCCCCCGCACTTCACTGGCTGAGAGGCACTGCTCTCGGGCATTGCCCGGCTCCTGGTGTAGTCAGGGCACCCCCAGCCTGCCCTTTCCCCGCTCCACGATGTCTGGGGGCTCCCTCCACAGTGGGGAACGCTGCACGGAGCCTTCCCGGCCTCTCGAAGGCTCTTCACACTGGAGAAGTGTAACTTGCAATTGTCCTCGGAATCCAGCCCCGGCTCCATTCTCCAGGAGCGAACGCACCTCTCTGCCTACGTGGCCAAGAATGCCATTGCTCGCCCACCCCTCTATTTTTAGAGCACATGCTGCAAGCCGGGAATGTGAGGAATGCTTCCCGAGGAGGGACCGTCGTGCGTCAGGCAGGGCTGACACCCAAATCACCAGGTGCTGACACAAAAAAATGCCCCAGAAAAGGGAGTTTTCTCCCCCAGAGGACACACAACCCAGTAATTTATCCTTGGGAGGTTGTGAAAGAACAAGGGCCCCAGACCTAGAAATGTCTCGCTTGGCGGGGCCGGGCTTAGGGACCATATAAAGCTTCTTCCATCCCCAAGGGCCTCATCCCCGTCGCACGGAGCCGCTCGCTCTCACCGCTGAACTGGGTAAGTGGGCTGCTCCTGCACCTGCCGGGGTGGGGTGACAGGGCCAGGCCTTGTGCGGGTCGCTCGCTCTGCTCCTGGCCGTCTGCCCTGGCGTCACTCTGATCCCAGCGAGGCAGATTAAGCAGAGGTGGCTGCAAGCTTTAGAAGGGAAGGAGTTTGCTTTCCTCCCGCTTGCCCCCTGCCATTAGCTGGCTGGAGTTACTCCTGGCTGGCAAATCAGCTGAGGTGTCTGTGTTCTTTCTGCGGACGATGCCGGTTCTATTGCCTCCGCCGGCGTTACGCCCACGTCAGCGAGCAGGGGCAGCCCGGCGGCCGCACCACCCAGCTTTGCAGGCTTAGATGACAAACAAGCGCCGGCCCCAGCATGCAAAGCGGCGTCATGCGCTGCCATCGCCACAGGACGGCACAAAGCGCCCGGGGTCAGGTGGTGCAGGAGGGCCACGTGGCCCAAAGGTGCTGGGCAAGGCCTTTGGTGTTATGGGAGTATTTGGCCTCGCACAATGGGGCCCTCATCCGAGGCGAAGGCGCCACATCGTGCGTCTGCAGTGCAAACGCTGACAGTGATGAGCAGGGTCTAGGAGCTGCCAGGGGCAGGGCCCAAAGGAGAGAGCTCTGACGGAAGGAAGGAAGCGCAGAAGGAGGGATGGGCCGGAGGAATCAAAAGGGAAAAGGCAATTGGCAGGGAGGGAATTATTTTGGACCTTGGGCTAGCGATTTAAATCCTGCCTTGACGTCAGCCATTGACAGCCACCTTGTGAACTAGGGCGGGTGGGAAAATGGGTTCTTGACCAAGCCCTTGTCTTAGTTAGGCTACTTTCTTAAAAAAATGGAGAGAGAGAGAGAGCGAGAGAGAGAGCGAGAGAGAGAGAGAGAGAGAGAGCGAGAGAGAGAGCGAGAGAGAGAGAGAGAGATCCTACCCAACAGCCAAAGCCGGGACATTTTCAGCAAAATGCAGATTATAATAATTATTTTTAAAAATGAGAAATTCTGACTTCTGGGGCTGGAAATGTTCAGGTGAGTCCTCGGGTTTCCATTTTCGACCTGCTCCAATGTGAATGCCTGTCCAAGGGGTGGGTCGGCGCAGATGCAGGGCCAGCAGGTTTTCAGCCAGCGTTTAGGACCCGACACTGAACCCACCTCCCATTGCATTGGCATTTGTCTCGCAAAGGTAAAAACCATCCCACATTTCTCCCAGGTCACCTGACTGCAGCAGATGGCTTCGCCGCAGAACCAGCAGCAACGCAGGCAAAGTCTCCCCTTGCCCCCAGCACTGAGCAATGCCGCTCCAGAACCAGAACCCAGCCCAGGTCCAAGAACAGTCAAAGAACCTGAAAATGCACCCCGGGAAGAAGAGAAGCCCCAGAAGGAGCCACTGGACCAGCCTCCTGGCCCAGTCCCGGAACTGGAACCAGAACCAGAGCCAGAGCCAGAGCCAGCACCAGAACCAAATCCACCAGAAGCTGAAGAAGCAGGATATTTACAGCCAGAGCAGCAGCAATACAAGCAGCCACCCGCCCTACCACCTGCACCGGGAGCAGAAACATCCACGGAATGTGAGGAAGCAAAACCGGAACCAGAACCAGAGCCAGGCCGATGCCCCCCACCCATCAGCGAGCCAGAAGGTCCTGGCCCTGTGCAACCATCCCCACCGGGGGAAGAGAAGCAACAGAAACAACCGTGCCGCTGGCCCCCGGCACGGAAGTAGCTCCCAGCTCCCGAAGGGAGCCCACGCCACGCACGCGAGGCAGGATAGTGACCAAGTCTCTTCCTGGTCCTGTCCGCGGGGGTTAGAAGGCTTTACTGTAGCAGCTTCAGAGCTTTGTCCTGTACGTGTCGGGGCCTGTTCTCCATTAGTATCCTTAACCTGCCACCAGGCTGGTTCCCGCCAGCTTGTCCCTTCTCCTCTGTCGCTCTTCTCCAGGAAACGATTCGCGGCCGGCGCGGCGAGGCTCTGAGCACACGCTCGCACCCGCGGGGGCCCTGCTTCTGAAACCTGCCCAGGCCAGAGTGAGAACTGGGCCGTCTCTGCGTACGCCCAAACTCTACAGCCCTGGGCACGGATTCCGAGGAGAGACGAGACGCCGCAGCCCCCTCGCGAGCACAGACAAGTGGTGCCCACTCTGGCCAGGATGGCCAGCCGCAGGGACGGCTCTTCGCCTGCGCGCGTGAGGGCCTGAACGAGAGAACGACGCGGCTCGGCTGTAGCATGGAATTGCCCGGCCCCCCCGTGCCTGTGCTCCGCGCTCTCGCTGTACGCGACACAATAAAATCTCCAGTTCATGGATGGGCACACCCGCCTGCTGGGATTCTTTGCTCCTCTGCCGGTCCCTCCACCTGGTCCACTGACGGGAGAGCGGGGAGCAACTGCCCTGGGGTCTGCCGGACCCGCCACGTGGCGATGGCGGGAGCCTGGGCCCTTTAAACAGCCCCCGGAGCGGCGGGCAGCGCTCGGGGTGGCACAGTCCCAGCTGCTCCGAGCCCCGCCCCTTCCTCTCTAAGCCCCGCCCTTTCCAGGAGCTCAGAGCCAGCTCCCCCCATCTTGCCCAGAGGCGATTCTGTCGGCTGCCCTGCCATCCACCCTGACACACGCTGACTTACGCACGTTATTTGTTCTAGGGGTTGCAAGAATAATTCTGGCTCGATGCCGTTTGGGGCAGAAGGTGCTTTCCCCTCCAAACATTTCACCAGCCTGCTAACCCTCAGTGCCCCGCGGCGCCTTTGCGCATGCGCCAGTGCAGAACCAGAGCCCCTTCGTCTCTGGGTTGAAAGGCTCCTGGAAGTAAAATCATTTGGAACCAGACTGTGGCATCTCGCCCCAGCTCGGGGGCGGGGGGGGCACAGTGCACTTTGGGAGCACCTGAGTGCAGGGGGCAAGCAGTTACCCCCATAGGAGACACAGGGTACCACAGGGTACCCACCCACCCCTGCAGTCCGACGGGCTCCGCGTGCACCCAGG